CTATGAGTGAACTAGCAGCAAGGTTTGACACTACTGGTCCAACAATGTTGGACCATTTGAAACAAACCAGCGAGGTAAAGAAGCTGGACAGATGGGTTCCACATGAGTAAAACCAGCGGCAGAAGAGAAATCATCTTGAAGTTTGTTTTTCTTTGCTGCCACGACTCAAAGGTGAACCATTGACACACCGTATTGTGATATGTGATGAAAAGTGGATTCTTTTGGACAGCTGCAAGAGTTGGGCACAATGGCTGCATAAAGATGAAGTGGCAAAACACTGTCCAAAACCAAATCTTTATCAGAAAAAGCTAATGGTGTCTGTCTGGTGGTCCAGTGCTGGTAGTACCCACTACAGCTTCATGAAACCTGGTCAGTCAATCACAGCGGATGTCTACTGCGCCCAGTTGGACAAATGCTGAGGATGTTTGTGATTAAGCAGCTGGGATTGGGCTGTAGAGACAGGCCAGTCCTCTTGTAAGACAACACCCTGCCACATGTCACACAAACAATGCTGCCCAAACTGCAGAGGCTGGACTTGGAAACTCTCTGTCATCCACAGTATTCAGCAGACCTTGCACCAACTCACTACCACTTCTTCCCCGCTTCCGACCACTTCTTGCCAGGAAAAGTAGTCAATTCTCAACAAGCTGTGGAAAACGCCTTTCACGATTTCACTGCCACTCGTTCTCTAGCTTCTTTGCTGCTGGCATAAGCAAGCTGCCGTTAAGATGGCAGACCTGTGTGGATGGTGTGGGTGCATGCCTTGATGAGCTCTACTGCTTCTTGTGTGAGGTGTCAGGAACTACGCTTTGGGCTTGAGATTGGACTTTCAAATGTAATGACCTGAAGTATTTGCAAAAATCTCCAACGTGGCTAGCCTTCTGCAGCTGTGGATCCTCTGGCTGTCTCTCCCTGTCACACTGGGCTGCTGGGCACATGCCCTTGCTTTTCTGGCATATTGTTTACGGATCAGGTCTTGAAAATGTGTGCATGGATTGGCAGGAAAATATCTGCTTACGTCTGGGCAGTGTTGGCTTCCTTACTGGCAGCGTGCTGAGAACCTCCACTGCCAGACTCTCAGCCCGGTGGTTTCTGGTCTGACATACTTACAAAGGGGTTTAAAACTCCAACATTTCTGGACAGATTGGAAATGAGCCACAAAGAGGAGAGAGAGAGAGAGGAAGCTGATGCCTATGGGTGTGGCCCTGTAGGTTCCTGCAGACAGAACGAAGTGGGTGCACTACCTAATTCAAACGAAAGTTCCAGCACTTATTAGTTGCATGACTTTGAGCACGTTTCTTAAAAGCTCAGATGCCTCAGTTTCCTGGTCTGCAGAATAAGGAGACTGATAATATCTATTTTATAAGATCAAGGTGTGGTTTTAGATGAATTCAATACACACGGAACACTTAGAACAGTCTCTGACCGGCTTGGGAAATGGGCACCGTTATACAAACAATCCCCAAATCTCAGTCGAGTGCAGTAGTGAGCCCCTATTTCTCCTCTGTCTGCAGTCTGCAGGGGGGACTCTGAGCCGCAAGTTGGGCCGGCTTGTGCTCCATGTTCCTCTTATCCTCCTCGGCCAGTAGGCGAGGCAGGCGTATCTTGTCCCTGTGGCAGGAACACAAGAGGACAAGCCCAAACAAGAGAGCACCTTAAGCTTGTGCTTCTCTCTCACCTGGTGACATGGTGTTGGCCACACTGGTCACACGGAGGGCCCCAAGTAAAGGACAAGGGAAGCGCATTCTGACTTCATGGGAGGAACTGCAAAGCTGCACGGCCAAGGACGTGAATTTGAATGGGAGTATGAGGAATCGGGACCAATGATGGGATTCACCGCATTGACATAAAAGCTCAGCAGTGTTGGCTATTTGCAACGGTACTAACCCCTAAACTCTCCTGAGAAAAGGAAGCTTCTACTTTCATATGTCTATCAAATGCCCTCTTCTTCCTTAGGTCTGCCCTTTATATACCCCTAGGACTCACTGGGACAAAGGGATCAGCACCCTGCTTGGGGCCCCGACAGTGGTGCCCCGTGCAGATTCACCCCGGCCACGCCACTTCTCACGGCAATTCCTCTCCCAGCGAAATGTACTAGGCCTAGAGACAATTTCTCCTCATCCGCAAGATAGTTGCAGGTTGACAGGAGTCTGAAGACCCGCTGACAGCTCTATACGTTGACACTGCAAGTGGTTATATTTATTTTAATAGAGGTCTCTTGACAAGAAACTTTAATGGCAAAAAAAAAAAAAAATGCAGACAATATGGCAAGCTCGCATAGGGAACTGTTTAGGACCTGGAAACAAGCCAGGAAGCTCAGCCAGGAGGCTGTCCAGTTGACCTTGGGCCTTGTAGGATGGATGACCTCCCAAAGACCGCCCAAGTCCTCATCTCTGAAACCTGCGAAGATGTCACCTTACATGGCAAGAGTGACTTTGCAGTTGTGATTGAGGTAGGGATCTTCTGATGGGGAGATTATTTTAGATTATGCAGGTGCACCTAATGTGATCACAGGGGTCCTTAAGGCGGGAGCTGTAGAGTTAGAGCCAGGCGCAAGGCGCCGTGAGGATGGGAGCAGAGGGACAGGGAGCCTGGAAGATGCCTCGTGGCTGGTTTTACAGGTGGTAAGTGGGGCCACAGCCAAGGAGGGCAGGAACCTTCTATAAGCTAGACAAGGCAGGGACTCGGGTTCCACAGAGTTTCCAACACACCCATAGCCCTAACGCCCCATCTTGGCACTCGCAACCTCAGAGTTATAAGAGAATACATTGGTGTTGTTTAAGCCACGGAGTTTGTGGCAATCTGTTTCACAGCAGCAATAGGAAACGGATACAGTGATCATCAATTCTGAGACCCCCGGCATCTCTAGAAAAGTGAAATCAGACAACAGCCTGCAGTTCCTATTCTCATATGTTCATAACCAAAACTGGAAAAGCCCCGAATGTTCCCTCTGCTAGCCCATGGGACTTGTACCTCTCGGTCAGCGGAATCGATAACAGTATTTTTGATAAAAAAAAAAACAAAAACAAAAAAAAGCAGTTAAGGGACCAAGCGTCCAGGCTTTTTAGATGTCTAGCAAGCTAGTTCAAACACAAACTTTCCTGATGTCCATCTGTTCCTTGCTCACGTGGACTTCTGCTGCCCAGCAGGCCCAGCCGGCCCACTCGGGGCGCCCGCTCCGCCCCAGAGATCGTGCTCCTGCGGCCGCTTCCTAGCTCTTCCGGATGAGGCTCTAGAACGCTCACTCTCGGAGCACAGGAACTGACCGAGACAGGACTCTTGCTCTGGTGACCGTCCCCGGGTCTCCCTGGGAGGGCAAGGCAAGCACGCGACTGCTTCTGAAGTGTGAAGGCCACGCTGTCCCCTGACGTCAGTGAGGGTCAGGTCAATCCGCACGCAACGGGGAACACAGGTGGCTTGAACACAGTGGATTTATTTCTCTCTCTCTCTCAAAAGAAAAAGACAACACCGACACCAGGCAGTGGCGACTGCCGTGTGCGTGTAGCCAGCCCCTGCCCTCTTCCCGTCCCACCACCAAGGAGCTTCCCGCGCAGGGTCCACCCGCGGTCCACGCTGCCCGGCCAAAGTCCAGCCAGCACATGTGCGTGTTTTTGGGCGGGAAGAAGGAGGAATACAAGGGAGCACGTCTCCCACACGGATCGCCCTCTGTAACGAGCTTTCCTGGGAGATTCTCACGACCACCGCTTGGACTCCAGTAGCCACCCCAGCTAAGGGGATGCGATAAAAGTAGCCTCTTGAAGACAAACGACAACAACGACAACAACGGCATTGTTCTTAAGGAAGAACAACCACGTTCTGCTAGGAAGAAAGCAGGGGAGAACGGCTCTCGTCGGGCGACTGTTTCTGGCACAGGCGTGCCCCTTGCCACCCTCCGTGAAGACCGCACACGGGACGTATGCACCCCGCCCCCCGGATCCCCGAACGCGGCTACCACGCCCTGCCGAACGGTTAGCACACCTGCACGTGGCACGCGGCCCTCCCCGTCGCATCTCGTGTTCGGGGACGTGAAAGCTCAAAAGCAAGTTATGTTCCCCGACCGACCAACCAAACCACCTTGATGGAAAAGAAATGATGAGACAGTTGCAATTTTATTTGCACAAGTAAACAAAACCTTTCATCTGGAAAGGTGGAGAACGGAAACGCTGACCCGTCGTAGGTACTAAGCCCTTCCGGTGAGAGTAGCAGGGAGCCTGCCGGTCCCTGCAAGACGTCAGCAGAGTCCTTGTGGGGGTAGGTTATTAGGCAGCCTTGACTCTGAGCTCTGGGAAGGACTCCGCTCGTTGTCCTTTTCTTTTGCTGCCCGACCTTGAACTCTAGATGCCTTGCCATTGCTCATTGTCGCCCCTGACCACGTCTGAAAGGGGGGTGACTCACTGGGGCCCCGCGTTCCCCTCTCGTAGTCCACTCACTGCTGGGCCCAGCGATTGCTCTGAAGGTTTAGAAAGGCCTCAGGCTGCTGGTGGCTCTGTTTAGGGTTACGATGACTGAGACTCTCTCGTTTCTCTGAGCTTAGGCACAGGTCCAGTCTTCTTTGCCAGACGCAAAGCCACCACAAGCAAAGTCTAGGGAGAGCTCTCAAACAGCCAAGGTCTCATCTTTTATTTGCTAGCCTCTGCTCTGCTCTGTCTGGTCTTCTCAAATCAGCGGCCACTTCCTTGACCCATCCAAGACAAGGAGCTCGGATGGGGACGCAATACCCTTAGTCCCGTCTTTGTCGGCGAGTTCCCAATTTCCACTGAGAAGACGTTTGTCTTTATCTCTTGAGAAGACAGCAGTTTCACAGCTGCTATTTATAACTGCCCACGTCTGGGGCCACGAAAGCATTCGGCTTTTTCAGCTGTGCCCAGGCTCGAGCTACGAGAGCCCTACTCAGCGCAGGCTGCGGGCTGCGGGCGGAAGCTGTCCCCTAGCGCACGGGCTTTCTCTCCACCCCTGCCCAGAGCTCGGCCGGCTCCGCACAGCTTCTTTCTCTCCCGTAGGACTCCGCAGAGAGCCGCAGGAGAAGGCCAGCACGTGCCAGAATTTCCACATTTCCTGCTGCTTTCCCAACGCCTCGATTTTGGTCAGGAGGCAGTTGGATTTCCAAGGTACACTGGGCAAAAGATTTGACAAAATGGGAGGGGGGCAGGTATATACATACATAATGAGTGAGATGTGCACCGTCTGGGGGATGGTCATGCTGGAAACTCAGACTTGTGGGGTAATGGGTGAGGGAAAGGGCATTATTTGAATCCTTAAAATTTGTACCCCCATAATATGCTGAAAAAACAAACAAACAAACAAAAAAAAAGGCAGCAAGATGTTCAGACCTTAACATCTCAGTCCTTAACATCAGCCTCCCCGCTCCTCCGTCCATCCAGGCTGATGTTTCGGGTTCTCTTGCCCCCATAGCACCCCAACTTGTAGAAACCAACTCTGCATTCATGAGGGTTCGTTTCAACTGCTTATAACGACAACCCCGAATATGCAATCTAATGAGGGCTCATTTCCCTCGTTGATACGGAAGCTCCAGAGACCTCAAGGGTCTAGATCCTTCTTTCTTTCTGCTCCACCATGCCCAGGGCTGCCTCGCTGTCCAAAACGCTTGCTGACTCTCCAGCCACCATGTTCATGTTCCGAATAACTGGGGGTGGGGAGCGCTGAGCTAGAAGTGAAACCCGCCAGAGGTGTCGGCCAGGTTTGAGGTCCCCTCCTCTGGATTTCCCCAGAGACGGCCCTCACGTCATTTCGGACAGCATGGAAGGCTGAGAAGCGCAGACTTTGAGCTGAGCACCTGGCCTCACAAAACAACCATTGGGCTTCTGTTACCGCAAAGGAAGAGAGAAGAGAATATCGGGCAGGCAGCTCTCTGTTTCTGCCACATTCTCCAGAAATTCTGCTCTCCTCTGGCTGGCGCTGCCAGGAATACGAGCCTCGCTATAGCCGGTCGCCAAAGGACTTCCGCTAAGTGTCGGGGGGCCGGGGAGGGTGAAGGTGCACAACTGCTGTGAGTCATCTGAGCCTTAGTGCCAATAAAACCCATGCCACTTCCTGACTCTGGGTTTGGACGTCAGAGAGGGACAGAGGAGGGGACGTGAGGCGCCAGCAACGGCACCAGCTGCCAGAGCAGAGGGGGACAGGGGACAGACGTAGGACAACGCCTTTAGTTTTCCTGAGGTGCCTCTGCGTCTGGGCCATGAGCAGGTGACCAGCCGCCCTTTGTCATGATCCCACCACGGTCAGGGCCACGGCTGAAAAGCCCATTTCTGCCCCGCCTGTTGCGCCCCGAGCAGCCCTCCAGGTCCCACGTGCCGAGCCGTCTGGCCGGGGGAACTCCGGTCGTGGGTGGGGCTGTGCCGGGCAGCGCCAGGTGCTGGGTCTTTTCGGGCAGGTGGGTGGAGGTGACTTGGTGCGGAAAACACCGTGTCTTCGTTGGGAAGGGATCGCTGGGCCCCGGGAGTGAGGTCTTTGGCCCGCTGTTGTCATCTGCTGACGCACAATGCGGCAGACCAGGAGAGTCTTGGGCCACTGAAGGGCACAGCCAGATGTTGGCGAATGGTCAGGGGCTGCGAGTGCCCCCTTTTGGGTGCTCTAGCGCCCGGTCCAGGACGGGGACTGTCGTTCCTCCGGATGCCGGGAACCTCCGCTGCTCAAGTCCCACCCCTGCTCGCCGTCCTCTGCGGGGTTCGCCCCCGGCCAAAGAGCCCCTTTGCACAGCCCCGGCCAACCCTCTGGCTTTGCTCTGGCTCCACCTGAGCGTGCCACCTGCGGGCAGGCGCCCAGCCGCCCTGCCTCAAGGCGAGGCCACCCTGGAGCACCCCGCCCCCCCGCTCTGGTGCACCTGGCGGGGCAGCCTGAGGCCCCCGTGACTGTGTCACGGCCCAGCTCCTCCCCGCCCCGCTCTGCCTTCTTCTCGCCCGGGTGTTGCTTCTGAGAGCTCTTCTCCTTAAAGCCTCTGCACACAAATCTCAGAGCCTGCTTTTCAGGACTCCTGAGCTGCAACTGCCTGTGAGGCGAAGAGACACAGAGCGGAGAGTGACTGGGTGGCAGTCTCCCGGCCGGCGCCCTCTGGTTAATGGCAGGACCCGGGTGGGCGTGTGGCAGCACCTGGCTCCTCGGCTTCCCAGTGACAGCGGCAGTGGCTCCAGACCGCGTCCAAGCAGCGCCGTCCCGTCTAATCACCTACGAAGTTCTGACAAGAATTTATGTAGACCTCTGTGTACCTACTGTTGTTTTAACCTGCATCACCCAGCTGGCAAACCAGTCTCATAAGTTTACTGTCTTAGAAAGTTTTATTAAGGACCTTTCCTTAACTAAAACCACTGTCAAACTTTAAGAGGTGCCTTCTGCTTACAGTGGAGTACAAACAGTGCCCGTACCTCCCTACCTTATAGGCCACACAGAGATATTTGTTCCCCCAAATGCACCTGTTTTCTCACACGCCAGTCTCTCGGATACCTTCAGCCTTCCAGCAGGACACTGGGCTGTGGGTGTGAGGCTGGGAGGGGCAGGGTGAGACCTCCCCTACGGGGCTGGGCGTAAGAGAAGTGAGATTCATTTCCAAGGGTTCAGCTGTTAAGATCTACACTCGACGTTTAGAAATCTAGAGGAGTAAGAGTCTGTAGATACGTGACCAAAGGGTTTGGGTTTGTCCCCTGATTCTACGCAAGGTGACCGGGGGATCAGGCAGGACAGGGATGCATCTACTGTTTAGCGAGCAAAAGCCCAACCAATGCCTCGTGGGCACACAGGGGCGGTCTGGGTCAAACGTGCGGTGTGGCAGGACGGAAGCGGGCAGTGTTTTTGCAGCACTGTTCCAAGCTGACACGACGTCAAATCTGCAAGAGAACCTTAATTTAATTGCCGGAGGGTGTTCTGTACTGCAGGGCAGGGATGATTCATTGCACCACGCTGTGGCCTAGATAAACATCTCCAGACTCTCCACCGCTTGCTCTGTGTTCCGTGCCTCCCAGTCATTGCTCCGACCTCCCCAGGAAGTGGCTGCCCCCCAGCAGGAGGGGGGAGAATTCCTTTCCGTGACCCGTGCGTCTCCCGCTGTGCACCATGAGGCTCCAGTCTCCTACCTGCCGCGCTTTCCGCTGGGTTAGTGTGAGTCAGCGTCCCTCATTCATTCTGACCAGGACGCGGTGACAAAGTTTAGGACTTACAGGGATGCTGAACCCACGGAGGTGAGACCCCCTTAGCCGTCTTGCCCTCTTCTGAGGACCCCTCGACTCTCAAAGGAGAATGACGAAAAGATCTTTGAGAAGCGTGTTGTGCACGGGGACAGGAGGTGGGAGGACAAGCAGGGGAGGGACGGTCAGGCCAGCCCGTGCAGGATGGACACGTGCACGTTCAGGACTCTCACTCCGAGGTGAAAGACGCCCCACGTGAGCACCTCGTAATGCCAGGCCCCGTCCTAGGTATTTTGTGCAGCTAGCCCCGTTTCGTTCTCATCACAGTGCCTCAGAGAAATGCTTCCTTGTCTCCACTTTATAGATGGGAGACTTGGGAGGAGGGAAACGTGTTCTGAAATCAGACCTCCAGAGCATGCCGACGGCAGGACTCGGGTCTGGCCCTGCCTGGCTCTCGGGGACGGACGCCACCTCCTTTCGGAAAGGCAACGAATGCCGCGCACCAACCGAGAGAGGGCAGCGCTCAGCGCCCCACTCGTTGCCTGCACCGACCCAGGCGGTTTATGGACAACGCCACACACTTCGCCTCCCACGTCGGATCGAGGTCTGTTTCCGTGGCTGTCCCTGCGGCGGCTCGCTTACCCACGGCCCCCACGGACTGGGGACCTTCGCGGCTGTGGGCTCGGGGTTCCCGCTGCCAGAGGCTCCAGCCAGGACAGAGGAGGGCGCAGCGCGAGGAGTGGCCAGGCGGCGACCAGGGCCCCGAGACTCGGCCGTGCAGGGCACCCGAGCGCACCTGCTGCTGCCGGGGGCCGGGCCTGTTCCCACTCCCGCGCCCGCGCAGAGCCCTGCTTCACGCCAGCGGC